GATATGCCATGCTCATCATGAATCATCATATAAAGAATATCATAATACTCAAAGTTAAAACTCTTTACCTCAATGGCCTTAGATAAACACAAAATAAGCATAAGCCAAACGTACATACCATTCTTGCTTTGGGCAAAACAAAAAGCTCTTGATAAAAAGTATGCCAAAGTGTTAGTTCAAGGCCTTTCTTACCCTTAGCAACTTAACTTCACAAAACAATCAATAAAGTTAGGTTCTTTTTGCTCAAAATACCATAAGAAACATTCTTACCTTTTCTCATCGAAGCATTGGCAAAATCCAACGAGAATGTTCTTTCAAAAGTAGGAATAAGATAAGCAAAGCAATTAATACTAGTGCTAGCATCAAAAACTTTACTTTACTTTTCACACTCAACAAAATCATCACATAAATATGCATAATAGTCATCAAGATCAAATTCAAGAGAAGTTAACTCATTGGAATACAAATTGAAGTTTTCTTCTTTTATATTTATGTCATTAGAAGTAACTTGTTCACTCTCCAACAAGGCATCTCCACACTCGCATTTGCTCATTTCACCATAAAAATTGAATCTTTTTGTCAAAAGAATGAAAATAGAATCAAAAGAATCATCAACACATTCTTCTTGACTCATTTCTCCATAAAGGTCAAAACTTTCTTCCAACAAAGTTAAAGTAGAGTCAAAAGACTCATCACATGCATCATCCCATAAAGGTGGGGTATCATAAGATTCAACATCACACAAATCACTAGCTAGGGATTCATTAAAAAAAGAACTAGAATCATCCAATAATGCGCAAGAACTCCTAGCTAGTTGCAAGCCAAAACTATTTTTCTCATTGCAAGATAAAAAAGTATCAAACTCATCAATATCATAGCTATCTTTCAAACTTAAAGTGTCACCACAATCAATTAAAGTATCACGAGTAGAAGGATAAGCTATGTTACCTTGAAGCTCTTCTAAAGTGAAATTTTCTTTACCTTGAACTTGCTCATTAAATTTCAAAAGTTCTCTCGAAAAGGTAGCTTGATCTTCTTCCAAGTTCATCAAAGTAGATTGAACTTCACTTAATGGCTCACCTACAAAAGTTCCTTCACAAGATACAAAACAACTAGAGAAAGAGAAAGGTTGTTAGCATTAGAATAAGGAAAAATTTCACTCTCCTTTTGTTTTCCTTCTTTCTTGTCTCTCATTTTCTTTTTAAGCTCTTCACTCTTTTCTTGTGACAACTCACTCACTTCACTCCATACTTTCTCTCCTTTATCCACTCTAGAGTTGTTACTTTTCTCTCCCTCACTACTCTCTATCTTTTCTCTCTCATCCTTACTTTTTCTCTTTGTATTTTTCAAGGACGTTCTCAAACTCATTTGGCCTTTTCCCCTTTGGTTCACTTTATTCCCCCTATATTTATCATGGAAAACTTGTTGTTGTCCAACTCATTCAAGGTGGTCTCATGATCATGTTGAAAAAGTGGGTTGTTAATCATTCGAGGCTCGTGAGGTGGTATGGGTGGTGGAGGAAGGAGATTGTCCCTCCATGGTGGTGCTTGAGGCATACGTTGGGGAGGTAAATTCATTGGTGGTCTAGGTTGGGTCATTTGGGGTGGTGGTATTATAGGTACGTGTGCTTGAGGTCTAAATGGTGGTTTGTGCTGGTTGTTGGTAGGTGTACGGTAGTTTGGTGGAGGAAAATAAGGTCCCTTCGGTGAAAGTGGGCGCTTTGGTAAGTTCTGTGGTATTTGGTTGGGTTGGTTGTGCAAATTTTCCCTTTGAAGCATTTGTCGCACTTTTGAAGGAGAGGGTGTAGTAGAGGAATTAGTAAGCGTCATACTACGCTCCCTTCCTTGTTGCCTCAAGTGAGATTCCTCTATCATGGAATTCAACCTTGCATCCGTATGGTGTTGCCGTATGCTAATATTGGTAACCTTCTCACTTAAGTTGGTAACCTTCTCGCTTATGTCATAAAGCATAGAAACAACGTCATGTATCGGAGTCTCACTCCTTGGATCACAATTAAGAGTAGAAGTTTGTCCGTACTCCATGATACCTACAAAATGAGCAAACAAGTTAGTAGTAAAGTCCTCACCAAGCTCACTCAATGTCGCTCAATCCTCGTGTATCACACTTTGCACCAATTGACTTTTGCGTGCTCAAAGTCCTATTCTCTTGCCTTTTCCGCTCAAGTGGTGAATGTCAAAATTGCTAGCAAACTTAAGTCCCAAGGTTTCACAACAAGTTCCAACCGTCTTCGGGGTGGAGTGAAAGTTGTGTATTCACAAGGACGGACAATTAAAAAGCAAACGGACTTGAACCAAGCAATTCACAATGAAAATAAAGAGAAAAAGCACGAAAGAAATGGCACGAAATAAAAGCAAAGCACACAAAGAAACTAGAAATAAACTCAATATGAACTAATATCAAGTTAATCTAGTTGAGAGTTTAGTTTACCACAAATTGGAAAGAAAGAAAATAAAAGAAACTACAAAACTAGACATTTTTTCGAACTTTGGTCATATTCGCAAAAAATTGGACATTTTGTAAAAGTGGTCAGATTTTACAAAAACTGGCCACATCTGTAAATCTGGACAGATCTGCCTTCAACTTGCAATTCCCAGAAAACTTACTCCCACGCTTCAATTTCTAGAACCAAATCAATGATGTACAGGAAGCTTTCTGGATACACTTCCGGAATTGAACTTGCTCAAACTGAAGCTTTACTGAGCTGAAGCTGATCTGTCAATTATTTTGTACTCAGTTTCTATATGTTCTGCTGCAAGTTTTACTATCACAGCCGCTCAAAAAACTGATACTTCTAGTCACAATTCAAAAGCAACCTCTAGTCGTGCTCACAAATTCACTCTATCACAAATCAACAACAAGCTCGAATTACCTCACTGATTCAACCCAATAATATCCAGCAAAACTATCAAGAAGAAGTTCAGTTTAATCTCAAAGAATCAAACCAGAATCGATAACGTGTTTGCGTGGCTACGCTCAACTCCAAATTGAACCCAGAAATTTGAAGAACACAGCAGCAAGTTCTTCAGCAACAACTCAATTCAGATTACTGTCCTAGATTCAAGTCAACTACAATTGACGACCCAATGATGACTGTATCAGCAGCTGTCAAGTTGATACCAAGGCCCCCTGCTCTTGTGCTCAGCAAGAACACAAAAATGTCGCCGAGGAAATCAACATTAGTCAGCACAAATATTAAAAAACAGATTATAAGTTCCTTCGAATTCAAAACATACCGATGCTGGAAATCTTTGACCATGTCTCGTAAGGGTGTGCATTCGATTTATCGATTCGATTTTGACTCTTATCGATTATCGATTTGTACATATGCTTATCATTATCGTTTCAATAAGGTTTCGATTTTTTCAATTTCGATTTATCGATTTTTGGGGCTTATCGATTCGGTTATCGATTACACCAATAAGAAAATTTGCGAGATTCCACGGAAAGTATATCGCAATAAACACGCCTAACTAATATGGACAAAAAGAAGCTAAAAGCGGCGCTGAAGAATGGGTAGAGGAAATAATAGGGTTAGGGACTTTTTTTTTTAAAATTAGATTTGAATCTTCATATTGCTCAGAATTGATAAGTAAAACACTAAGAATGTAACTCCACTAAGCACAAGCCACAATTTAAGTCTTAACTAGTAAAAATGAAGATCCTTCCATCAGACATCCTTGATCAGGCATAAAGCCTTCCAAAGCATCCAACGGCCTTGATCTTATCATCTACTCCGTGATGCCTCACTTATATATTGCTTGAGTACATGAAAACCCTGACCTTAGATCCCATAGACTTAGGTGGCAAGTTAGACTTGAACTTAGCTCTGACGACGCCACTGTTTCCATGAGGCCTGCAAACCTTACCCCAAATGCAGCGATAGTGACTAGTGAGAGTTGTTCTTCTTTGTCTTAGCCTTGTAGATGTACGCCATGCTCTTTCCTAGGTACCAATCCACTTCCTCCTTATTGTTCACTCCCTCAATCTGAATCAACGAAGTGCTTGGGTACTGGTTCGATTTCGACCATTTGTATCCAAGAACAGTTCCTCTGACATAGAGACTGACGCGCTCTCCTTGGCGTCCTTTCACCATTTTCGATTCAAGGGGATAGGGGAACGGGGGATACGGCGAACGACGGAGAAGGTCTGCAGAGAAAAACTTAAAACCCTAGAGGGGTTAGGGACTTAGGGTGAAGGAAAGGGTATTATAGAATAAGGGTATATTTGTCTTTTTAGTATATCTTATCGGTTTATCGATAAACCGATAACCGAAGAGGACAAAATCGAAATCGAAATTGATAACTCGATAAGGAAAATTTCCAAATCGAAATCGAAATCGATAAATCGATAAACCGATTCGAATGCACACCCCTAATGTCTCGTCTATCCATTATAGTGGAAAAGATCCATCAAGCCTCAAGTACTTATATTTCCTGTAGTGCATGTAGTCCTGCAAAACAAGTGAGAATATTAGCAATCTCACAAGTGAAGAGTTTCTTTATCCTTGCAATTTTAGATCCATTACAAATGATAACTTTCCTAGTCATGGGGTTATGTTGCAGTAGAAAACATACTCTGGTCTTTGCAAACTGAGTCCGTTATAAGATGAATGAAGCAAATAGAGAAACCAATACAAGAGTCTCAACAACAGCTTCGTATAACTTCATATAATAAGAACTACAAAGCATAAAGCATAGTTGTTAATGTTGTTATTATTGTTGTATGCTTAGCTTCACATAGTATGCTCAAGAAACTACTCCATGATTCAATCTAACCTAAGCTTGGTAGGAGTTAGGACGTCAAAAGAAAGCGACACTCAGAACTCATTGTTTATGCATAGGCGGGTCTAAGTATCTGTTATCAAACAGTTATTCCAAGATGAGCTACAAGCCTCTGCCACGCATTGATGGCGGAAGAGAACCTGTACTATAAAGCACCAAAACACGGGTCGTGTATTAACCATCTTCACCACTCCTTCACATAAAAAACACCAGCTGATATGTCTTATCAAATTATCTGCAGAAAATAGTGTTCCAAGCAGCTCTCTCAACAAGGAAGTTGATGCCGCAGGAATTTGGTTCCAGGTGGTAGAACCACGGTGAAGTAGGAACAGTAGTGTCGGCATGATGGTGGATGAAGAGTGACAGAGGGGAGGTTGTAGCAATCTGAAAGGTTTTTTTATTACGGTACACAATCCAGCTAGGATAGTTCCCTTTTTTGGGATTATTATTCGGTCTCAATTCCACTTGTCATCGTCTCATTTGTTTAATCTCCATGTCATCTGCGTTTGAGTTTCACGTGCCTGGAGACTGTTAGTATTGTGTTTGATAGGTACATTTTGTTAAGTGTTCAATAGGTCACACTCGAGGTGTATAAATCAAAAATTTTGACAAGTTCAAGGGGCTGTCTATGCACTATGCCATTAAATGACTGCATTGAATTAGGCAGTTCTCTGTGTACATATAAACAATAATAATACCAAACAAGAAGCATAAAGAGATCTAAGGAGTACCTGGTATGTAACAGCACTTCGACCGCCAGAATAGAATACATCCTCCAGTTCCCCGAAGGGAGGAGGTAGAAGTGAGTTTGGAACCTCTCCAAAATAGAAGTAAGAAGTTCCTTCATTTCTCTCAAACAGCTCTGGATCCGCACACCTGGTTCCAACAAGAGAAATAAAAGCACTAGGTGAAAAAACTTTAGAAAAAATAACACTACTATGGAAGGTCCACCATAAAATTATCAGGTGATGCAACACGAAAGAGCAGTAAAGAAAGAGATCAATCACCTTCCTTGACTGGATAACAATATTCATCAGGTTTAGAATTTTCTTCTCATTGAGATGCCCAAGGCTGCTATCAAACAACTCAGCAAGGGATATCTTGTCTTTTATTGCTCGATAAAATGCCTGCTGGCGAGAACTCAACTTACAGTGCACTGTGATTTCAGTTTTCCCAGTCAACTCAGAAACCACATCCTTTTTAACCCGTCGCAGCATGAAGGGTTTTAAAATGGCATGCTGTTCAGAAGATTCAGAAAAGAGAAATCCATCAAGATGGAAAGTCTAGTTACCTAAGAAGATATTAGACTTTACCTAAGAAGATATGCTAATATTATTCAGATTAACAGAGAGAAGAAAGATGGAGATATTATGACAGGATTTGATGAATTACCATATAAAAAATTCCAGATAAGATTGACATCCACGAATAACCACATAACAAGGATGTTTCTTCTAACTAAATACTAGAGCGATGTTCTTGACACCAGAAATAAAGACGAGAATATGCAAATAAAAGAAACTTATAAAAGAGTTCATGGAGTGTTCTTGACAAACTAAAATATAAAAGATGACAATGTGTACTATATGCCTATTTTTAGTTAAGTCAAAATGACAGGAAACATTCCTCAGAAAGAAATTGAATTGTTGTAGGTCATAAGGCAGCTGTATCTTAGGATATTGGATTGTCATAAACAACTACAAAGCAAAGATCCCTCACCAGTCGGCTGAGCTGGTGCTCGTTCAATGTCCCACCACGCTCTGCGTGGTTCTCAATTCTGATCAGAAAGCACAAAGAATTATCACCAGGATGGACAACTGATACATTAAAGCAAGAAACACCTTACACTGAAACATACATACCCTTTTGAAAACCATTCGTTGAATTGTTCGTGGCTTACAAATAAAGTAGGCATAATAAAGTGGAGGAGCGCCCAGAGCTCAGCCATGTTATTTTGAACTGGAATACCAGTCAGAAGCAAACGGTTTCGACAATTGAAAGTCAACCAGAGCACAACAAGATCGAATGAGAGTGAGAAGTTATGATTAACAACAACTTGTTGCCTTATTTAGATTATTCAACAGGTGCAACAAGATACATGGATGCACAGACTTAAATGAATATCAAACTCAGGATCGAACAGAACTTTCAGCTCAAACAATCAAGTTTTCAAACTTAGAAGTTCATGAACTTAGAAACTCAAACATGCTTTCAAACCTTCAGGAGTTAGAGAATTTGAACCTGGAGTTTTCTTCTGAATTCAATCGACACTGTAATTGGAAAGTTCAATCGCCGAGGGGATTACCTTCGTGGAGCCAATTCAGTTGCAAATGAATCTCGGAGAAAAAATTGAAGAACACAGCTGTTGTTCTTGTCTCCTTGAGAGAATCGACTCCGGATCAACCTAAATGCAATTCGAATCAGCTCTACAGGTGTTCCTCTTCGATTTACCAGCTACTCGAATCAGTTCGGAAAGTTCTTCAATCGAAACAACTGTTCTTCGAGCTTCAATGGCAGGGAATTTGATTCTCGCTCAATCCTCCACCAGAAGAGCTAAAATTTCAGCTATGACTTACCAACAGCCTTAAGTTCAAACCCCAGCAACCAATTTGCAACGAGCAACCAGCAAAATCGACAACGCTCAGTTCGTTTTCTTCGAACAGTCTTCCGAAAATTTCGACCAAACCAATTCGAATTTCAGTCGCAAACGAACCCAAGCTATAGATTACAGCTCTCAACACCAATTAGAACAGAACCCCAAAACCAATTTGTTCAAACACTCTCGGAAATGATGAGCCCTAGGTCGTCTTCTTCTTCGCACAAGCAGTTCAAAATTTCGAACCAAAAACTCGTCAAACCAGCTTCCAATCTTCAGACTTAGCTTCAAAATGAAGTTTCCAGCTAGTATCATAAACACCCAATCGAATTCAAACCCTAATTTTTTCAGATTAGGCAGTTTTGAACTCCACCTTCAACGAGCAGCCTCCAATGGATTTACACCCAATTTCGGCTAGGGTTCCAATGATTTCAAGCTCAAAAAGGGTAATTAAACTCAGATAATGAAGGAATCAGAAATCTCAGAACCAAAATCAACAACGAGCACAAGGAATTCGGATTTCCAAATGAAACAGTGAAACAATACATATGATTTCTAATTTTAGACACAGATGAACAGTAACCTTCCTTTTTTTGGGAATTTTTAATTTTTTTTTTCAGATTAGATGATAATCAAAACAAAGACCCAAGGATTGATAGAACAATCCAAAACCTCCGCTCTGATATCAAGATGATACAGAATCGTATCGAAAATACGGATATAGCAAAACACGCGGAATCAAAAATAAGAGCTAGACCTAGAATTGATTATAAGAACAAGAACCAATTAGGATATAAAATCTAATTACCTCTATGAACTCAATCAATTGTAACCCTAAGCTATGAACATAAGAGCTAGACCTACAATTGATTGGAAGAACAAGAACCAATTAGGATATGAAGTCTAATTACCTCTATGAATTCATACTCCATAGTAGATCGTGCTATACAAGTATGTTTTGAAGACTTCCATGAAATAGCACCTGCACCCAACGTAAACACATAACCACTAGCGGAGCTAACTTCATCATTGTCAGTAACCCAAACATCACAAAAATCCTTCTAAAACAACAGAAAATTTATTAAAATGCAAACATCAATCCATAGTACCTCTCAAATACCTTAACAAACGATGAAGAGCATTCCAGTATTCACTACTGGGGTTGTGAGTATATCTACTCAATATACTAACAGCATAAGCAATATCAGGTCGGGTATAATTCATAAGAAACATTACACTACCAATTATCTTAGCATATTCAATTTGAGAAATACTAGATTCCTTATTCTTTCTCAAGTGTATGCTAGGATCATAAGGAGTTCTCATAGGTGCTACATCAAAACAATTAAACCTTTTCAATATTTTCTCAATATAATGAGACTGAGATAACGAAAAATCATTAGAAGTTTTTTTGATTTTAAGCCCTAAAATCACATCTGCTTCTCCAAGATCTTTCATTTCAAATTTAGAAGACAAAAAATTCTTAGTCTCATTAACAACATTCACATTAGGGCCAAAGATTAAGATGTCATCCACATACAAACATATAATAATCTGATCCTATCATCTTGGAATAAACACAAGTATCAAATGCATTAACAACAAAATCATTACCCACTAATGTGCTATTAAACTTTTTATACCATTGCTTAGGTGCTTGCTTTTAGGTGCTTGTTATGTAATGTTTTAATTACACAACACCTCATTTCTAAAATCTTGAGCTTTTGGTAGGAGGCAAAGTAATAACTTCATCTCTAGGATTATGAATACAAGAAATTTCATTCCTAACATTTTCATTTCTAACAATCAGACGTACTTTCTTTATTTCTAACATTACAATGTGATTTCACATGATTCATTTCTAAACACTACATTAGCAACGTAATTCTTCAACCAATTCCTACACAGAAAACTCCAACGAGAATTATTAGAACTTTAGCAACGTAAAATTTTGCGGTTCTAAAAGAGTACGATGCAACCTTTTCCAAGAATATCATACGAATTGTTCGCTATTTTGATCTCGCAGTTACGGGTTTCGTCGCGATTGGCGTATGTTAGAGGAATTGTCAAGAGAACCGTCTCAGGTATGTTAAGGCTATCCCTTCTTTCTTTTTGGCATGATCTATACGACACAAGCAAAACGAGCAAATGCACAACTTCCATAAATCACTCTATTCATAGATATGCTAGAGATGTGTATATTCTTATTCTCCAGGTCCCAAGTGTCATATTATTCTATCATCTGTTCATGGGTTTCAAAAATACGTAAGTTGGTAAAGTTTATTTCATGATATTAATCAGTGGCATAATGGCCTTATGACGTTATATATGCACCACTACATGATCAACTGGTATACGTTGATGATTCTGCCCACAGTGGCCGAGATGATATGATGGGATGCCCTCAGAGGCCTGATGATGTTATGAAACATGTACCTATGCACGACATGACATTCATACGCATATGCATGACACTATAATTATTTCATGAATTACAGAGTTATCCAGTCTTACAGGTTGAGTCATTCATTCTATATTTCCTTCATGTCTGTTATGTACTTATTTACGTGCTTTACATACTCGGTACATTATTCGTACTGACGTCCCTTTTCCCTGGCGACACTGCGTTTCATGCCCGCAGGTCCCGATAGACAGGTCGAGAGCCCTCCAAGTAGGCTATCAGCTCAGCGGAAGATGTTGGTGCGCTCCATTTGCTTCGGAGTTGCTTGTTTTGGTTAGTATGATTTAGACGTGTATTGTTTGGTATGGCGGGAATCTGTCCCGATCTTTATGAAAATTATGTATTCTTAGAGGCTTGTAGACATATGTCATTTACGTAAAAGATTGTATGGGCTTGTTGGCCTATGTTCAGTATACGAGTGGTTATTTTGGTTTTATAGGCTCGTACGTCTTATGTATAAGTTGGTATCACATGTTATATTCTACTTATCTCAAGGCAGCCTTTCGGCTTAGTTATTGTTAGTTTGAGAGTTAAATAATAGTAAATAACTCTAATCCCATATGTATTAAGAGTAGGACATGTATTATATATATAGGGCTCATTGTATCATTGTCATAATTAATCAAATAGATTTTTCTCCCGTGCATTCTCACATGGTATCAGAGTATCCCTGAGAAGAGATCGTTGTGCGTCATTCCAGCGACATCCGGGAAGAAAGAACTCGGTCACCGTGCAATTTTCCGGTGACCTAATTGACTGATTGCGTCAAAGTCACTAATTATCAGTGTTGTGCAAAATCCAACACCACCACAAGGTTCCCAAGAGAGATCCGACCAAACCCCATAAAAATTCACCGGAAAATACTCACCATGCGCCGTCACGCGCCTGTCGAAGAACTGCTTCCGGCGGCGCGTGTGACCTCTTCCGGTCAAATTTTGAAAAATATTCTTCAGAACAGCTTCATTTCCTTGCAATTCCGAGTCCACTGGTACTATTTCCGACAGATTCCGATAACTTTGGAATTTTCCGGCGAGCTACAGTGATTTTTCTGGCGTGAACAGTGATCCCCAAAAAATTTTTGCTTTTTCCGGCACGATATTATAATGGCATTCGTATCGGAAGCCTTTTACTCACAATCCGCTAGATCCAATGCACTGAATCCAATCCAGATGGTTTCTTTACCGGACTATATTGAGTTCCTTCAGTACAAAGCACGTAAACAGACATCTTCAGGATTAGTCTCCGTTGTTCCAACAAATAGTAGCATGACTTGTGTCTCCCAATCTTCACCTTTTGAGTCTTGGGTCATTGATTCAGGTGCATCTGATCATATTTCTGGTAACAAATCTCTTTTCACTAGTATTTCATATTCTCAATCTCTTCCAACAATCACAATGGCCAAAATGGGTCTCAAGCCATGGCAATTACAATAGGTCAAGCAAGTCCACTTCTTCCTTACCTTTAGACTCCGTTCTTTATGTTCCTGGTAGTCCTTTTAATCTCATAGTCGTTAGTCGCTTAGCCAAATCACTTAAATCTGCTGTTTTATTTCTTGATGACCTTGTTTTTATACAGGAACGCAGTACAGGGTGGATCATTGGTACCGGACGTGAATCAGATGGACTTTATTACCTTATCCTTGCAAAATCACATGGACTCGCATCTTGTCTTCCTCCAAAAACTTGTCTCGTTACTGATTCACCAGATTTATTACATAAACGGCTAGGACATCCTAGTTTCTCAAAACTTCAAAAAATGGTACCTGGCTTATCTCACTTGTCCACTTTAGAGTGTGAGTCATGTCAGCTCGGTAAGCATACCTGCTCCCATTTCCTGCGGCGTCTTGATAATCGAGCAGAGTCACCTTTTACTTTAGTCCATTCAGATGTTTGGGGTCCTAGTCGGGTCAGTTCTACCTTGGGATTCCGCTACTTTGTCAGTTTCATTGATGATTATTCCAGGCGCACTTGGATATTTTTGATGAAAAATCGGTCTGAGTAATTTTCTATTTTCCAAACCTTCCACGCTGAAATTCAAAATCAATTTGGGGTTTCTATCCGCACATTTCGTAGTTATAATGCCCTAGAGTATTTGTCTTCCCCATTGCAGCAGTTTATGAACTCCCATGGGATTATTCATCAAACATCTTGCTCGTACACATCCCAACTAAATGGGGTAGCTGAAAGAAAGAATAGACATCTTATTGAAACTGCTCGTACCTTACTCATACAATCTCATGTTCCGCTGCGTTTTTGGGGAGATGCAGTTCTCACATCTTGTTATCTTATTAATCGTATGACATCTTCAGCTATCCAAAATCAAGTTCCATTCTCTGTCCTGTTTCCCCACTTACCTTTGTTCTCTCTTCCACCCCGTGTCTTTGGGAGTACGTGTTTTGTTCATGACCTTACTCCAGGAAAAGATAAGTTAGCTCCTCGTGCTCTTAAGTGCATATTTCTGGGTTACTCGAGAACGCAAAAGGGATATCGATGTTATTCTCCTGACCTTCAGCGATTTCTTATGTCTGCTGATGTTACCTTCTTTGAAATCCAATCATACTTCACAGGTCCAGTCAATCACTTAGATATTTCTGAGGTGCTACCAGTTCCTTCTTTTGGAGATTCAGTCCCTATCTCCCATTCATCTTCCTCCATAGCTCCACCATCTACATTTCCAGTTGCAGCTCCACCACCTAGTCCAGTGCCACCAACTATAGCTCCAGTGCCACCACCTAGTCCAGTTCAACCTTCTACAGCTCCACCACTCCTGACTTATCATCGTCGTCCGCACCTAACATCAGGCCCAGCTGATTCACGCCCTGCACCTGACCCTGCTAATACTGCGAACTTGTCTCCTCTTAATCAACCGATTGCACTACGAAAAGGTATACGGCCCACACTTAATCCTAATCCTCATTATGTCGGTTTAAGTTACCATCGTCTCTCACCATCCCATTGTGCATTTTTGTCATCTTTGTCCTCTGTTCCATCCCTAAGTTTACAGGTGAAGCACTGTCTCATCCCGGATGGCGACAAGCTATGATTGACGAGATGTCTGCTTTACATATGAGTGGTACTTGGGAGCTTGTTCCTCTTCCTTCGGGTAAATCGACTGTTGGTTGTCGTTGGGTGTATGCAGTCAAAGTTGGTCCAGATGGCCAGGTTAATCGACTTAAGGCTCGTCTTGTTGCCAAAGGATATACTCAGATATTTGGACTCGATTACAGTGATACATTCTCTCCCGTGGCTAAAATTGCATCAGTCCGTCTTTTTCTATCCATGGCTGTTGTTCGCCATTGGCCTCTCTATCAGTTGGACATTAAGAATGTTTTTCTTCACGGTAACCTTGAGGATGAGGTTTATATGGAGCAACCACCTGGTTTTGTTGCTCAAAGGGAGTCTAGTGGCCTTGTATGTCAATTGCGCCGCAGTCTCCTCGAGCCTGGTTTGGTAAGCTCAGCACAGTTATTCAGGAGTTTGGCATGACTCGTAGTGAAACTGATCACTCTGTATTTTATCGACATTCTGCTTCAAATCTCTGTATTTATTTGGTCGTTTATGTTGACGATATTGTTATTACCGGCAATGATCAGGATGGTATTAGTAAGTTGAAGCACTATCTCTTTCAGCACTTTCACACTAAGGATCTGGGCAGATTAAAGTATTTTCTGGGTAATGAGGTCGCTCAGTCTAGCTCTGGTATTGTGATCTCACTACGGAAGTATGCCTTAGATATTCTTGAGGAGACAGGAATGACAGGTTGTAGACCTGTTGACACTCCGATGGATCCGAATTCTAAACTTCTGCCAGGACAGGGGAGCCTCTTAGCGATCCTGCAAGATATAGACGGTTGGTTGGTAAATTAAATTACCTTCACAGTGACTAGACCTGACATTTCCTTTCCTGTGAGTGTAGTGAGTCAGTTTATGAATTCTCCATTTGATACATTGGGATGCAGTTGTCCGCATTCTTCGGTATATAAAATCAGTTCCAGGCAAAGGCTTATTGTTTGAGGATCGAGGCCATGAGCAGATCGTTATATAAAATCAGAGCAGTTCTGTCCTAGGGAGTCTACAAGCTGTGTCTAGTAGAGTCTTGTTTATGGGTGTGTCGTGCACCACACTTATAAGTAGAAGGCTACAGGGCACTTAGGACTGTCACTCTTTCTTCTTACTCTAGATCGTGTGGTAGAGCTGAGTTGTAAGAAATCAATTTCCTAAACTCTATCTTATTCATGATACGACAATGCCTACATCCAGAAATACAGGTGGTAAGAGATATAGTTGTGGAAGAGTTGAGTTAGAAGAACTCGATTTTTGCATCATGCTTATGATGGATAAGTATGAAGTATTCAGCAGACCATGTGTATACTAAGATGTGTAAGCTTCTTGATAAGGATCCCTAAGGCAAGAATGTCTATCCACTTTTACAATATAATAAAGGAAAAAGAGAATCGGAAAGTAGACATAAGTTCCAGCAAGCAACAGAAGCAAGATGAAAAAGGGTACGAGGTACCCAGTTAATGAAGATTATCGGTATTTTCAACTCAGGTAGAGAGATATAAGCATTTTGAGTTACCTTCAATAGTAACAGAGGTACGTACAATTGGACACATCCATTCGAGTTATGCCCCGTGGGAGTTAACAGAAGTAGTATAAGGGAGGACGGATATCAGGATCCGGCTGGGGTTAGAGTAACCCAAAATGTTGGATGAATTGTTTGCGTCAGTTGACATTTTCGAAGAATATTGCAAATGTGCTAATACATCTCCTTGTAAGATACCCAGATGTTGCACTCTAAATTAGTACAGCTAGATATGAGCACAACAAAGATAGGCACTGAAAGCCAGGAAGGGATAAATATTACCTTAGCGTGACTCTCGTCCCTAGTAGAGCGAGGACGTTGAGCAACCCGAAGAGCTGATGAATGAAGCAAGGAGAGCTAAAAGCGAAAGAATGTCGTGTTGAAGCTTTCACAAGAAAAGGATAGGCAAAAATATTAGCAGAGTAATGAAAAGAGAAATAAGGAACAATTATGAGTGACATGTGATACATGGATGACAACGGTAGAGTGTTCCAGAATCTATAGTCAAATGAAGAAAGAGACGAAAGGTGATGGGCCTTAAGACAACAAAAGAGTATAGGCCATACGGTTACATCCTCATTTCAAGAAATAAGTTCGCAACTCTAACGTGATTAACATAAGGAGAATTTAGACCCTAGAGTAATAGAAATCAGTATGGACTGATGAACTAGATAAACTAAAAGAGAATTTCAAATTACGTTCCAGCAATAATAGAATAGACAACAGAAGAAGATCCATGATGAATTCAGAGAATGGTCACTTAGGAAGACGCTCCCTAAAGCAAGCAATATGAGCAAAGTTATGCTTAAGGGACAGTATGTGCCAGTTACACTAAGTGTCACCATCGCGAGTCCTTGGTAACAGAAGGATTACCGCAAGGCGAGTAAGGGTCGTTGATGATGTTAAAGGATGCCAAAGATGAAGAGGAAAAACATCTATAAGCAGGTCGTCGTAGCTCCAACCCTTAGTACTCCCCTAAAGGGGGAATATGGAATGGTGTGGCATTAAGTCAGAATTAAGTGGATCTAGTAACTATGGAATGATGAACGAAGAATGCGATAAAACCGAGGAAGGGATGAGATTGCACTTATCAAATGTTACAGATATGCTATGATTCCAGAACATTATGTAAGCACAACGCCAAGAAAAAGAAGTAAGGGTTCCTGTTCGGGATCTATTTGATAAATAAGGAGCTAGTGCGAGAAGTGAGTTAAGACAAAGGAAATAACCCAAGAAAGATTACGCGGGATATGGATATGAGAATGGGCCAACGAGTAGTTAGTAGTTGATTTAGGAAGAGCCTAGAAATGACTAGACTCAGCAGATCATGCAAGATAAATAGAGTGAACCCCAACATGGAGAATTCAGCCTTGTAGTGATGTCACTATAATACTTGAGACATATTCAAATAGGAGTCGGGGTAGTTTAAGGTACCGTATGAATGTTACGGGAATAAAAGAGAGTGTCACTAGGAAGACAGTCAAAATATCAGTTCAGAAGCAATCCTACAAGTACAAGGTCATGGAGGTAAGCAACTATGGATAATAGGCAAGGAAAGACATCAAAAGGTCCGTAATAGGCTCATAGTTTTACAAGAGTCAAGGGTTCTCCCTAAGTACTACAATGAAAGACTAGAGAGTAAAGAAGAGTTAGAGACGATGTGATGTCTCGATGTTCCAGAAAAGCATAAGGAAATCGGTCGCAAGCTAAAGTATGATAGAACGACAAGGTTTTAGAAAGACATGAGTAAGGATAAGAAAGGGCAAGTGAGAAGATGAGGAAAATGGATAAGTCCTCGGGATTAAGCCAGTGAAAACGGAGCTGATGGTTCCTCTAAGTTATAGAAAGCTCGGTATAGCCTGAATGAACTCAAAGGAGTCTAAGACTAATAGCATTTAGAAGAGATGGAATGCTGCCCTAGTATTAGAAATGTTGACCAAACTTCGACTTTTTGTGAAAACGACCCTGGAACGGTGTTTTAATGGCTCCGATAGTTTCGTATCATGATTTTGGACTTGAGCGTATTCCCGAAATTGATTTCGTAAGTCTGTAGGTTGAATTATGTTGATTAGCCGAAATTTGGCAATTTTATGTTGAAAAATTTAATCGTATCCAGTTTGGAATTTGATTTTAGTAGTTGGAATAGGTATGTTATGTTACTTAGAACTTGCCTGCAAAATTTGGTATCATTTGGAGTTGATTGGTAGGGTTCCGATTCCTATTTGCAATTCTAGAAGCTTTTAAACTTTCAATTCATGTGTTTTAGTGTTCAATTCGTAGTTTTAGATGTTATATTGTATTTTGATCGCGCGAGGGAGTTCATATGATGTTTTTAGACTTGTGTTGATGTTTGGGTTGAAGCCCCGAAGGCTCAGATGAGTTTCGGAAGGTTTTGAACTGAAAAATGAAAATCTGGTGTCTGGTGCCTCTGGTGTCGCATTTGCGACCTTAGGTGGGAACTACAAGTATCGTAATTGCGATGCCTGGGTCGCATTTGCGATGTTTCTTGCGACAAAATTGTCACTTTTGCGAGGGAAACAGGGTTCACGATTGCGAACCCATCCTCCCATTTGCGAGAAGTTCCCCAAGCCTGTCAGTGCCGCAATTGCGAGAGTTTCTTCCCAATTGCGAGGGTTTGCAATTGAGAACCCTATCGCAACTGCAATAACTGTAGCTAAACATCCTGCTTATAAGTGTGGTGCACGACACACCCATAAACAAGACTCTACAAGACACGGCTTGTAGAATCCTTAGGACAGTTCTTTGTCAAGACCCAAACCGATGGGTCGCGACGGGCACCCGGTACCTTACTACCGTGTACCAACATAACGTATCTTTTCATGTCATACTATCATAGATAACTAAGCCGAAAGGTTGTCGTGAGATAAGTAGAATATAACATGTGATACCAACTTATACATAAGACGTACGGGCCTATAAAACCAAAATAACCACGTGTATACTGAACATAGGCAGAGAAGCCCATACAACCTTTTACATACATGAACATAGGCCGACAAGCCCATGCAAACTGGGTTACTCTCCACTAGTGGTTATGTGTTTACTTTGGGTGCATGTGCTAGTTCATGGAAGTCTTCAAAACAGACTTGTATAGCACGATCTACTATGGAGTATGAATTTGTTGCTCTTTCAATTGTCGAAACCGTTTGCTTCTGACTGGTATTCCAGTTCAAAATAACGTGGCTGAGCTCTGGGCGCTCCTCCACTTAATTATGCCTACTTTATTTGATAGCCACGAACAATTCAGAGAATGGTTTTCAAAAGGGTATGTATGTTTCAGTGTAAGGTGTTTCTTGCTTTAATGTATCAGTTGTTCATCCTGGTGATAATTCTTTGTGCTTTCTGATCAGAATTGAGAACCACGCAGAGCGTGGTGGGACATTGAACGAGCACCAGCTCAGCCGACTGGTGAGGGATCTTTGCTTTGTAGTTGTTTATGACAATCCAATATCCTAAGATACAGCTGCCTTATGACCTACAACAATTCAATTTCTTTCTGAGGAATGTTTCCTGTCATTTTGACTTAACTAAAAATAGACATATAGTACACATTGTCATCTTTTATATTTTAGTTTGTCAAGAACACTCCATGAACTCTTTTATAAGTTTCTTTCATTTGCATATTCTCGTCTTGTATATTTCTGGTGTCAAGAACATCGCTCTAGTATTTAGTTAGAAGAAGCATCCTTGTTATGTGGTTATTCGTGGATGTCAATCCTGGTGATGCACCATTTGAAGCTTTGGTCATGGAACATCAGGATAGGCTTTAATCTAATGTTAATCTCTTACATTCCATATATTCCTTCATTCCTAGAACGAGAGCACCCCCTGTAAGTGGTATTACATTGTTTGCTCTTACTTTGTGCTCTCCATGCACAAGCAATTGGTTACTAACTACCAGATGTATCTTGTAGATAAATGCTCATTGCTCGGATAGAAATTTTGCTTACAAAATGCTCGAGGAACTACACCATCCACGGATTAAGAGGTTGCTGGTTGGGTTTGCACGCACATCGGAATATAATGGTCCTATGAAGCCAGGTGTCACACACCATTTAATACAAGAGAAGACTCTAAATTACCTGTCTCACAACCTGCTCTTCAGCTTACATACAAAATATCTGGGTCATGTCCACCTGTGCAACCATTTGACCCTGCAAAGATGCTAACAGTATGTTATCTTTTCCATTGATGTCTTCCTTCTCTTTTCCTTTCCTCTTTAATACATCTATGTGCCTTTAAGCACATACAGTATCTAAATGTCCTATGTAATCACCGTGTTCTTCTCTTTGCACAAATGACAAAAATGTTGGATATTATAGAGGTATTTGAATCTTTCTGCTGCACCTTGACCGTTTAGATTTGTCTTTTTGTAATGCTATGATGCTAGTAGCAGTGGCAGTTTCTCTGCCTATGCAACTGTATGTTTGTATTTGGTTGTAGCTTTGGAGAGTTGAAAAGAGTGAGACTCTGAGGGAAAGCAAGTTTACTGGTAGTCTCAGCTATGCTTTCGTTCACTAACCATAGCTGGTATAAATGAAATATGCAGCTTGCATGTAAAACTTTTGTGAAGCTATTAAATTGATCGAAAATAACCATGTGTTGCTAAATTAAGAATTGCTATAATGGAAGACTATACTCGAAAGTTTGAATACCTCATCATTAAGTGTAATACCCGAGAACGTGAGGAACAGACTATAGCAAGATATATTGGTGGCTTAAGGAGTGCCATCGCCGTTGTTATTCGCCTACAACCTTATTGGACATTCAATGATGTACGAAAGCTTGCCATCAACATCGAACAACAACAAAAAGAGACAAAGAAATTATACTCCAAGAAGAATTACCCCAACCAGGGGAGTACTAGTAGCGGTAGTGGTGGAAATCCCAAAGCCAATTATAGACGTAATTCTTCTAATTCATCTTCAAAGGGAGAAGAAACCTCAGGGGGATATGACTAGGAGAAGATGTTTTAAGTGCCAAGGTTTTGGGCATGTGCAAGCTGATTGTCCCAACCGAAAGCTGTTATGTTGGTTGACGAAGAAAATGATTCCAATCATGAAGAAAACCAACCAATTGAGGAAGTTAATGAGGAAGATGAGGATGCCTATGTAGAACCTGATGAACGTGATATGCTTGTTATTTAGAGGATCTTACATGCTGGACATGAAGATGAAGAATCATCACAACAAGAGGCCCTTTTCCACACGAGGTGTACATCACATGGCAAGGTATGTTCAGTGATTATCGATGGTGGAAGTTGCACTACTGCTGTTTCAGAAGAGATGGTGACTAAATTGGGTTTGGAGACTGAGGTACACCCCAAACCTTACAAAGTCCGGTGGCTGCAATATGGTGGAGGTATGAAAGTCACTAAAAGATGCTTGGTCTCTTTTTCTATTGGTAAGATCTATAAAGAGCAAATTTGGTGTGATGTGGTAAAGATGGATGCTTGCCATTTACTACTTGGAAGACCATGGCAATATGATAAGCGTGCTTTTCATGATGGATACCGTAACACCTATTCATTCATAATTGATGGACGTAAGATCGTTTTAACGCCATTGCACGCTAAAGAACTTTCAAAGAAGGCAAAGACCGTGTTTGATACGCTAATGACTAGATCACAAATTATTGGGCACATCAACAAAGGAGAGCCATTGTACATAGCAATAGCCATGGAAGACTCACAAGATAAGGAGCATGAGTTAGATACACGAGCCAAGAAGTTACTTGCTAAGTTTGATGATGTCATCTCTGAAGTTGTTCCATTAGAACTTCCACCCATGCGCGATATTCAACATCAAATTGACCTTATACCTGGAGCATATTGCCAAACAAAGCCGCTTATAGGATGAATCCTACACAACAAGCTGAACTCCAAAGGCAAGTCGAAGAATTATTGGAGAGGGGTTTAATAAGGGAGAGCCTTAGTCCCTGTGCCGTACCTGCTTTGCTTGTTCCTATGAAAAATGGCACTTGGAGGATGTGTGTTGACAGTCGAGCAATCAACAAGATCACTATCAAATATCGCTTCCCAATAAGTTTTGATGATCTATTTGACCAATTACATGGCTCTACGATCTTTTCAAAGATTGATTTGAAGAGTGGGTACCACCAGATTCGTATGAGAGAAGGTGATGAATGGAAGACTGCCTTCAAGACTAGTCAAAGGCTTATATGAATGGTTGGTAATGCCTTTTGGTTTGTCAAATGCTCCTAGCACATTCATGAGGCTTATGACTCATGTGTTTAGACCATTCATTGGGAAGTTTGTTGTTGTCTACTTTGAC